GAATCAACACAAATCCAATACCTTTAGTGTACTGATTTGGTGCTATATATTATTTGGGTGGACAAGAATGGATTTTCCCAGAACCAGGAATGAAAGAGCCATAAGAGTGAACTATATTTCTTTTATTCAAAGACCAAAGCAAAAGCAACCAATCCATCATAGCTACTGGAGGCAGCCAATTACCAGAAAATGTATATTTTCCAGTAAGATTATTGTTATGGTCTCTAGAATAAAGCCATGCTGAGGAATTCTTGGGGGTTGAAGCTGGACGTAGGAGAAGGAGATGTTTGAGAGGGATCTATTTGCTCCTGCCAGTCAACTTGAAGCTTGAAATATTTGTTGGTATTCGTTGACCAGTACAGTTTGTAAGAATTTCACATCTGTGAAAGCTTTAACTATTCTAAAGCACTACATAAATGCTATGTATTGAGCTTATTACCTGTATTAAAGTCCAATTGGCATATAGCTTTGCAGGCCTTTCAGATTGCACAGCCTGACTCAGCCTCTTACTTGGCTCCCCCCAATGAGCTTCTGGGATTTGTCCACAGACTTTCATGTTTAATCACCATATCCTTAAGAACTAAACATGTTTTATTTTTAAAAGGAAGGAGGCTTAAAATGCCAAGTGTTTGCCCAATAACTAATTCTATGTTGGCAAAGTGCTCTGTGCGAAAAAGGTAAAATACACGATGGATTGCATCCAATATTGGTCCTTTTTAGAATACAACCATCAAAATGAATGGGGCTTACATTAAAATAACATTGGGCTTAAATTAGAAGAACATAAGAATAATCCACTGCCAACTATGTTCTATGATTATACAGTATTACTAAGACTATTATACATCGTCTCTTTATTAAGATGCTCTGGTTGAGTGAATAATAAGAGTGCAGAAACTTTCCAGGAGGAGGCAGGTACCTTTCACCAGAAAAGTCTCTACATAGATTAGCAGACTTAGCACAATCATCCATGTGAACTGGTGAGGAAGCAACACAAGCAGTACATACAGAATGTTTATTTTATTTATTTATTTATTTAAAACATTTCTATGCCGCTCCTTCGCCGAAGCCTCGGGGCAGCTCACAACATAAAATTAAAATATAATACATTCAAAATATAAAACAAATTAACAATATAAAATAAGTTGCCCTGGCCAGATAAAATAAGCAAATAATATTAACAATTAAAATGACGTTTAAATAAAATGTTCCCAGTTGGATCACTGGATGAAATCATGCATTCTCTAGTGCATCCACTCTTTTCCATAAGAAACATGTGTAAGATCCTGGGATTCCATTCAAACTGGATGAGGATTGGATGGCTTCAAACATGTTTTAAATTCTATTTATATAAAATGAATAGGTCATGTGTTATGGGAAATAAATTTCATCTGTTGCTGTGGAGAAAAAATTCTCAGTTCCTTATCCTCCAAATAGGCAAGACTCCAGTTCCCATCAGCTGGCTGGAATGATAGGAGCTGTTACTCAATACATATGGAATATGTCATGTTGCAAGTGCCAGTCCTAGATGCTTTGGCCAGTTACAGCAACCACTTGATATATCTGCATACCCGAGGATTTGTCATTTTATGCTCCAGTGCAGCCATATTGAAAGAAAATGCTTTGTTACTTGATTCTAGATTGTATGGAGCTATATACTTCCTAAGCAGAGTGTGGTGTCATGTCTCCTGGCTTAAAATCAGTGCTGATAAACAAGACAGAAGAGCTCAATATAGCAGTAAAACTTGAAACTACAGTAATGTTGTTTTTAATTTAAAATGGCATCTGTTGCACTCAGCACGCATATGTTCCCTTGTGAAAATCAATGGAAGCATTATGTACAAATGTGTACTGCCACAAAACATGGCTATGTTGACTGTTCCTGTTCAGTTCCTTCCTCCAGAATACTCCATTCTGTTGCTCTTCCTGGCCAGTTTTATGTTCTTTCCTCCAACTGGCAGTCAACATTTCATGGGTACTGAAGATTCATGCCCAGTCCTTCCTGGCCTGCCAAACTGGAGGGAACAAGACACTGGGAATGGCTGACATAAAGCAGCCCTTATAAATAACCTGTAAAGAGGTGGACAGCTGTGCACAAAAGCTTCAGCAGAGGAAGTGAAGCCTAGGCTTTTTCCTGAAACCCACTCCCCTTTTCATCCTTACAGCAGGATAAATAATTGGTGTGGACATCAGGAGCTTCTTAGTGTATTTATTTCATTTTTATACTGTCCAATAGCCAGAAGGCTCTCTGTATATAGTGATGAACAGTGCAGCTCCTCAGCTTCTCATTTACAAAGGGTATAAAAAGGCTGTAGAATGTAGAATTATGCAATTTTGCTTGGGCGTTTTGAGAAGGAGCAAAATGACTCATAACAAAAGGGCAAGGTCACCCAAGCTACAGACCAGACGGCTGGTACTGGAATCAGGGCAGAGCAGGAAGTTTTAGAAAATCCAACAAGATTCTCCACAAGCCACCCTTATGCTGTGTAATCCTGTTCGCAAGCATGAACGGTCAAATCGCGATTTCTCAAGGGACCAGCTGGCATTTTGATCTGTACATTTGTTCCTGCAGATTAGAAAGCTAAAGATCAAAGCTTAAGGGAAGAGCTTGCCATGTGTAGATTCTTCCTCTCTGTTTTATCCTTCAACATAACACACCGTTTCCCAATGTACAATTGTACAATTGGTGGGAAGATCAGTTGTGCCTGTCTCTCAGATGCCCAAGGACTACTTGTAATACCATGGTGATCATCAAGTGGCACTTTCTGGGAGTTGCTTGACACCCTGCTTCCAGGAGTAGCCCCTGGCAGCAAGCTGCATCACAAGAACGGTCATCTGAGGATGCAGTTGTACACACGCTTAGATAAAAGACAGTCCTAAGGCTCCTAATGTGTCCCTTGTAAGATGTTTTCTGTCAAACTTATATGGGTTTGCACTCCAAATATTTTAATGCAGGAGCAGAAGTTTTGTCTATAATTATAGCACAGTGGCTACAGGGAGGAGTTTAGATATCAAAATATGAATGAGGCTACTTTGTGATATGATTCAGCCAACACTTAAAAACACACTGTAAGCCAGGGGACCCCAAACTTTCAGAATCAGTGTGCACAAGTGGAATTTTGACAGAATGTTATGGTCACTCTCACAAAATGGTTGCCACAGGTGCACCTTGCCCTTTCATAAGCTCTGTACACTTAACAGATTTGGAAATATGCAGGTGCACACTCAAGACATTAAAAACAAATGATGATGATGATGATGATGATGATGATGATGATTAGAACATTTCTATGCCGCCCCTTGCCGAAGCCTTGGGGCGGCTTACAACACAATACAATACAAAATAACAATATAAAATTAAAATTAATAATATAAAATAAATAAATATAAAAAAATATAAACACTATAAAAGAAGTTATAAAAGAAAAGTTATAAAAGAAGAAAAGGAAAGAAAAGAAGTCATCCTGGCCAGATGAATAAGTGAATATTGTTAACAATTAAAATGACGTTTAAATAAAAAGGTCTTCACCTGGCGCCGAAAAACAAATAACGACGGCGCCAGGCGGACCTCTCTGGGGAGCACATTCCATAGATTGGGCGCCACCGCAGAAAAAGCCCTCCTCCGAGTACCTACC